TAGGCCTTATCTAACTGATCTGGATGGTCTGTGGAAGTAGCTTCTTGAGGTGCTTTAGTGTTCCAAATCTTGCTAAGCAGTGGCAGACATAGAAGGCTGCTGCTCACCCCCAAACACATCTAAACTGAAAAGCCTGTTTGGGATAGATTTCTGGAGCAGCTCCAAATTATAATCTTGTCTAGGGAGGATCCCTTGTACCTCCCATCACCTTTGGCACTGACTCATCCATGCTGATAGTTCCAAATTCCTAGAAAAAGAAAAAAAAAAGAAAAATAATAATTAAAGATGGAGTTAGTGCTGATTCTGGTCTAATTTAAGCTTGCTGTCAAGGGATTTCTGTGGAACATATTCCTTCTCATTACTCTTTTGAAATAATTTGGCCAGAAGCATCCAGGAAAGAGATGCTCACTATTAAATATATATGAGTACAGTTCAGCTAGATCTGGAATCTTAACTATCAAATCCAGTCATTAGCTTTAATTTTCATTAGGTGCAATCTCTAGCTGTGGACTGTAATAGTTGTATTCAATTCTAGCTACAGATAACCTACTGTCTAGTTCTGTGGAGAATGCAGATCAAGGAACTTTGCCCACCTTAGGTACCAAACTACCTGCACTGCAACGCTCTGCATGTTCCACACCTCTTACCCAAGCAAATCGTTGCACCAAAGAGCAAGACTACAGGCCCAAATCAGCTGGTAGGAAGACTCCTACAATGGCCTCCCCAGTACCAGGAGGCCCTTTCCTTCGTCCTGTTCATCAAGTACCCCTTGTTCCCCATGTACCACTTGTACGACCTGCTCACCAACTGCACCCAGGATTGGTCCAGAGAATGCTGGCACAGGGGGTCCATCCGCAGCACCTTCCTCTGCTGCAAGCAGGTAATCCATGCTTTTTTTTTTTTCCCCCCCTTAAGTCAATGCATGTTCTCTTTAAGACTGACCTTTGTGTTAGGAACAGCACAAACTGATATTACCAGTAGTGTTTATTACATCAGAACTTACCTGTAAAACCAGGCAACAAATTCCAACCCATCTGAAAATATATATATATATGTTTTGTTTTGCTTTAAGTTCCTTGTGCTTATCAGCTAAGAAGTTTTCTTGCTCACATCCAACAGGTATGCTTCCTCCTGGAGTGGACCTGTCTCACTTGCAGGGAATATCTGCTCCCATGCTTGGCCAGCCTTTTTACCCACTACCAACAGCAAGCCATCACCTCCTGAACCCGCGCTCGGGGACTCCTCTGCAGCTGGCGATGATGCAGCAGCAGCTACAGCGATCAGGTGGGTCAGAGCACAGCCAGCAGTGGGAGCTGCAGGACACTGGGAGCCTGCTCCAGGTCCTCTGCTGGCTGGGCTCTTGGAGGGCACTGTGCTAGCAGGAACTACTCTGATTTAGTTGTTCATAATCACTAACCCTGTGTGGGTGTGAGGCAGCTTTGGCTCTGCCAGAAGGAAGCCCAGGTGAAGCACTTGCTTTCAGAACAGGAGTTGCCACTGACAGCTCTGCCTCTTGCAGTTTGTGTGCAGCTTTCAGCCCTGCTGGGACAGAGGCCACCCACCATCTCCAGGGAAATGCTATTTGATCCTGGTCTTGCAGCTCAAACCTGTGTGATACTGTGTCCAGAAGTGGCAGTGTCAGGCCATTTATGGGAGTACTAATGAGAATAAACACATGGTGCCTGGATTTCCCAGGGCTCAGAGATTGAGTAAAAGCCACATTCAGCTCTCATGCCTTACTAGGTGATAGCTCAAGGGCAAATCTGTGCTGGGTATTACTTCACCTCTAATAGCTTTACATTTCACAGGCTCTGGAGCACAGGGATCACCTGCTGGTGTGCAAACAGCCCCTCAGAACGTGCTGCCTCGGACTGGATTATCTCACGGGCACACACAGCTCGACCATCGCCCCAGCCAGAGGAGTGGCTCTCCCATTGGCCTTGCAAAATGGTTTGGTTCAGATGTCTTGCAGCAGCCTCTCCCTTCCATGCCATCCAAAGTCATCAGTGTAGATGAACTGGAATACCGGCAGTGATCAGTGACCACTGGGTGGAACACTTGTGATTCTTTAGACTGGATGAAAATGTCCATAGTCAGGACTTCACCTCTTGTTTGTTTTTTGGGGCTTTTATTTTTAGTACTCTGTGCAAAATTTCTTTTTGAGAGACTAAAGCACATGGCACCTGTCCTGGTCTCATGTCTGCATCAAGACTAAAGGATCCATTATGGCTTGGATAGTGAAGCCTGAAGAAATTTAGATGCAAGACAAAGCCAGTTTAATCCTGGAAGTGTCTATTTTTTTTTTGTTTGTTTTTGTAAGATATGTGAATGAAGTGCTGATATTCTCTAGTGTAGAGGTAGCAGCTATAGATTCCTTCTGCAGAGAACTACATGTATAGACCCTTCTGTACAGACTTGTGTATAAACAATCTTTTGTACATACACACCTAGAATAGCCTTTTTGAATCTATACAGCTGTACATAAGAGTAGCTGATAACAGTTGAGCTTTAGTTGTGCCTATGGTTTGGACCTTTCTCCATTGTACGTGTGGGACTTTCTTTAAGATTAAAGTTGCATATCCTAAGTGTGAGTGAACAGGATGAAGTTGCTTTGCCTTTCCTTGCTGCTCATCTCCTCTAGGTCTCCCTCTCACATCTTTGTCACGTACTGTGCACTCAGTGTAGCTCAAGTGTCAGAGTAAAAGTCCACATCTTGCTGTCTGTGTAACAAAGGTCTGATTCCCTGTGTGTGACTCTTGCCACCAAATGAGAGATTTATTTAGTCTTCGGACAGCCTTGAGGATGGGACCTGGTGCAGTCATGATAAAGCCAGATCTTCGGTCTGTAGGTACCTACTGGTCATTGCTCTTTCAGGAGGGCTGGTGCTGGTCCTTGTTTAGCTGCAGTATTTTCCTTGTTTTAATCTTTCAAGCCAGTTACTAAAGGTCATCAAAATGGAGCCTTTGAATCCTCACCCTTCAACTCCTCAGTCATGGCTGTGGAATATCCTGTGCTGCCTTCAGTGCTGTTTCTGGAAGGGAGTCCCAAGCACTGTCCTCAGTCCCGTGTGCATCCAGTGATGCGATTACTGTGAAACTTGCCTTTGGAGACTTGTTCTGTGGCTTGAAAGGGGGAGGATGGGATAGTTTTGTGATCTTACTGTGTATATTTGGTTTTTAAAGTACTATGTTCCTTTTAAGCCTGTTTCACTTTCCTGAACAGTTAAATGTTCTCCTCCATCCTTCTGCATGGTTCCTCACTTCACTCCCTCACTTGTGTTGAGTCTAGTACTGCTGTCATGTCCTCTATCTAGCTTAGGCCATTGTGCTCTTTTTTTAAAAGAGGTGGAAGCAAAACCAGAACTCTCACAGACTTGCTCTTTCTTAGGTCTCACTGAAAGCAAAACCAGCAGCAGGAGAAAAAAAAAAAATCACTTGTCTGTATCCTAAGCCTTGGCAGAGTGCTGTGGTGGGTTTGTTTCAGTCCAGCAGAGACAGTGTTTATGGAAATAGCAAGCTGAATCACCAACGTGGAAGCTGTTGGGGGTCACCCATATTTCTAGTGGTTGTTCCCAAAGCAATCCCTGTAAAACATGCAATCACCAGCTTGTCCTTGTAAGACTGTTTTCATACTTTTTTAACTTGACACTTTCCCAGTAACATTCTGTAAATAAAGTTGATTCTACCAGCTGTCTGTATCAACTGCTCTTGTACTACATTATGTCAGTATATTGATTAACTTTTAAATGTTGTTCTTATGTGTAAACTGGAACCAGGATTTGAGCTGATCTCAGAGAGTCTCAATTAGTCCAGGGCTGGGGAGGAACAGTCTTGCTTTGATGAAGGTAACTGGCCTCACTGAAGACACAGAACAGAATTGCTGCATTTAAATGTCTAGGTCAAGTGTGAGGAGTGAGATTCAGTGTACTGGAAGAACTTTTAAAACTAACCAACTCTAAACAAAGGGTTATTTCTTCACAATCTGAATAACATC